CAGACGGGCCGAATGTCTTTGCTGAGAGTGGCGCTGAACATCATAACTTGTTTGCCATGTGGTGTGTTCCGGTATATTTCTTGAACGTCGCGTCGCATATCTGAAGTTAAACAAAAAAACAAATAATAAGATTAAATATTTCAAAATTCATGATTAAATATTTTTTGCCGTCTGTGTTTAATCTATGATATGCTTATGTAAACTTACCAAGCAATTCCAACATTTTGTCACATTCGTCAAGAATGAAATGCTTAAGATGCTTCAAATTCAGCTTCTTGGAGCGAACCAGGGCGAGAATGCGGCCAGGTGTTCCGACGACGATGTGTGGACAGCTGCTCTTTAGCACCTCTTCATCCTTTTGAATTGGGAGACCACCAAAGAACACGCCAACCTTGATAGTGGGCATGTACTTGGAGAAGCGCTCGTACTCCTTGCTGATCTGGAACGCCAGCTCACGAGTGTGGCACATTACCAACACGTAAACGACGTTTTCGGTTGGCTCAAGCTGCTGCAAAGTCGCGAGAACGAATACAGCAGTCTTTCCCATACCAGACTTGGCCTGGCAGAGAATGTCCATACCAAGAACAGCTTGAGGGATGCATTCATGTTGAACTGCATAAAAGAAATTCACAATTACTTAACAAGCACAGAAAATAAAAATTTAACTTTAATTAATTAGAAATCAGGATAGGCCAAATTATCTTATTCATTATAATTCAGCTGTCCCTACCTATTGGTGTCATCATTTTGAAATTTGTAACAATTACTAGGATAAAATAAACTCTTACCTTCAGAAGGATGTTCAAAACCACAATCAGAAATGGCCCTCAGAATCTCAGGCTTGAGCAAGAAATCCCGGAACCCAGAACTGTGGATGGACACATAAGTACCCTTGACACCCTTTTTGGGTTCAATTGCACCCGTGGTTTCAGTGGTGGTCTGTTCAGTCTGTTCCTCATCTTCGTAATCCAAAAGATCCTCGTTATCAGCCATGTTGTTTGTTATAAGTGTTTGACTGGAAATTTGATGACGGTTATATTCTACCGCTCAGATTGCAACGTACACGAATAATCGATAATTGCGTCGTAAACAAACAACTTGAAATGACGCAATGATTTCGAGTAAAATATTATGAAATAAATTATGAAATTTAGTGATAAGTCATAATCCTAACGCATTAACTTTGAGTGAATTACTCAAATGAATCACCAAAAATGAACGGCATTTT